TTGAGAAAAACAAAAATGAAAAAAAGCCAAATATTAGGTTCGATCATCAACATACTGCAATTTTGGCAACAGGGTACCCGCCCGAGTACCTTATACGTACCTAAAAGTACTTTAAGGTACTTCAGTAACCGAAAGTTCCTGTGACATACTAGTAGCAGGGTACTTTTTCAGGTACCCTTAGTTCAGTACATTCACTAGGGCTAATTGTTCTTGTTCTTTATTTGATTCATCAGAGTCAGTGTCTGTTGGTACTAATATTAATTGTGTAACTTTCTTTGTTTCATTTCTCCGTTGACGTTTTTTGTCGACATTGTAAGACGTACTGAATCGAGATATTTTAGACATCCAAAAAAATAAAAACTTAGAGCTTCTACGAAAAAAACGATGCTCTAAGAGATATAGCACTAATAGAGTTACAATACGCTAAGACTGTAAGTTAAGTTAGTCATTTAATAAACGTAACTATTGAAAAAGCAAATAATGAATGTAACACAAGAGCTATTAATTATTTCATTATAGTTCACATCGCCATCCAGTGTCATTGTTACGATGTCAAGTGGACCATGAGAGGGCAATGCTCCATCACCTCGAAACTTTTTAAATATATGTCAGTGTTATAATAGTAAGTGATTAAATCTCCGAAAAATCTTGTTCCATTTCTGTTCTTTGATACATATCCGATCAAATCTTCTTGTAAAATTCTACTAATCCTAAAACATTCAAAAATAGATTAATCAGTAAATTGGGCTAATAGGCGTTGAAAATGAAAAAGTTAATTGTAGCCCTGTATGAGCTATTTTCAATCCAAAAACTATCACGCATTAAATGAATAACCTATGTAGATAACGATCTGTGCAATGTATACATTTTACCAATAACGTTCGTGCAGGCGTAAAACGAAATTTTCCTTGTATTGAAAATACGATGAATGTTGTTGATAATATGTTGTTAATAGTTGATCTGTTATGACACTTATTTCTTCGTCAAAGATTTTATTGCTGTGTAAACACCCTATTCCACAAATAAGTAAACCAATACATGAGATTTGTTTAGCCGTCAAAAACATTAAAAAAATGAGATATGAAGCCACATAATAATAAGTTTGTCATTTATTTCAATTTCTTTTTAACTTCATCTATGCTAAATAGAGTCTTGCAGAACCGACTTTTTCAACCCGCAACATAGCCATCCAATAATATTTCTGTAGTTGATACTGGAGTGAGAAACGTCCTTCATTGACTTTTTTCGAACACCCACGGCAGAGTCTCTTTGCGAAGTATTCAGAATAATATAAACAAACCGACGTTTTTCTTATCCTACTAGATAATGTTACAGAACAATCACAACTAAGAATGACAGGTGGCGCTTAAGTGTTGCAATAAATCCCCCCCTCCTTCTATTATTGTTCTATTAAGTAAAAGCAGTTAATGTAAACTGAAAGGAACTTGTGCTGCTTTCAATACTTTTAGTGTGATTGACTAAAATAAAAGAGCGCGAATATTTCAAATACTATTCAGATAGAATCCTGCGCAATCGTATCCCATGTTAGTGTACGATTCAGGGTTATTCAGATATTAGGGTTGTTCTTTCGAGAACGTACCACATTTACATCGGCTTTGTCCGAATTGTTCCAGAGTAACAAGACTAGTAAGATACACGGAAATCAAAGTTGCAGTAAAAAAATTATTTTTTTACATACCATACACCATTCGTTAGAGAATTTCAAGGTGGTCAAGAATATGTGTGCCTTGAGTTGCCAATTTGGCAACTTTTCTTAGATTCCTCTTTTTTTTAAATATGTTACCAGATGGAATCTTCTAACTTAGTTTTTCTGATAGATCATAGAAAACTAAATAAGAAACTGGTTTTAAACCATTCTTAGAACAAACCATCGGCTCACGAAATAATTATCCAAGACCCATGCCCAAAAACCAAAACTTAATTTTGCAAGTCTATCGCAGGTTTTTCTAGAGATGCTAGAGCCAATATTTTTATATGGTTAGATTCGTCAGATGCGTAGCTCCAAACGAAGAGCTTTTTCAAAAATTCCTTTTCCTCGCTGAGAAAAATCGATTTTATTGGGGATACCTCCAAATTAGGCATGCAACAATTCCAAGCCCGGACTTGCTGATCGGTCACCAAACGGTTCGTTACCGAACATGTTCGGTCACCAAACGGTTCGTTACCGAACATGTTCGGTCACCAAACGGTTCGTTACCGAACATGTTCGGTCACCAAACCGTTCGTTACCGAACATGTTCGGTCATCAAACCGTTCGCTGCCGAACATGTTCGGTCACCGAACGGTTCGCTACTGAACATGTTCGCTGCCGATCAGCGAGCTCGAGCTTGGAATGGTTGCATGCCTGATCTGGACTATTCGGTAACGAACGGTTTGGTGACCGAACTATCGGATTGGTGCATGCCTACTCCAAATGGGCTAGGTGATCTTTAGTTATTTTTTTCTGTTCTTCCCAATATAGTCAAATTATATTCATGTAAGTTAAAATCGATGCGCAGTCCAACGGACATACTCTCAAGATCTTTACAGGGTTTCTAGAAAGCCTTCCAGGTGAGCTTTGGCTGAATAATCTATGTTTTATTTTAAAAATCACTTTTTCGCTATATTCTTCTGAATCAACTTTGGATCCGCCTACTCCAGGTCTTTGCAATCACTCTCTCTGTGTATTCATACTATCTCTCACTCTTCAGTACTATCTTCTCCAGGTCTTTGTTATCACTCTCTCTGTAATGCTATCTCTCTCTCCTGCTTTCATGATCCTATATATAGTGGAGTGATTTATTGGATAAAGCACATACTAACCAGTGTGAGTCAGAGGCTGAATTGAGATAAGGATATCGGTCTCTGTAGTAGGCTTTTGGTGTTCGGATCGTACCATGATGCGTGCAGTCTAGGCTTGAACTTCACTATAATTCCACTTATAAGAAACACGTCAAATTCTATAATGTCAATCACATTTCAAAGGCCCAATGTTCTAGTATCTCTCTAAGCGTACTGAAGCAGAATATAACAGTTATAATTTAATTTCGAATTGGATCAAGTCTTTCTCGCTTCTCAAATCAATCTTACAGTTGAAGGATACTATAAAAGTGGTTTACTTACTCGGTGCGCATTGTTGAATAAACTTTGAAATTCCAAGTTTTCGGAGGTCACCAAACGATCGACCACCCTGCACTATTGCTTTAATGGCTGGATCATCCAATTTTCTTTTCTGTTCTTTTGACATTGCTGAAGTTCTTGCACATAACATACCGCCTTTTTCATATTCAATACCATGTTTTAGTAAATGTTTAACCAGGGGTGATGTGCTATAACTCGGCGTTTTTAAACGTTGTTTACAAATAATACATTCGGCTTGTAACGAAGCCTCATTTTCAACGCGATTAAAATATTCCCATACTTTAGATGCTGGCTTTATACCAGTTTGTTCATTTTCTCTGGCAGATGATAGTTTTGAGGTCGAAGTAGCAAATTACTTCGCAGTGTTATCAACTTTAAGTAGTACATTTATATCACTATGCGGATTGGATCGACAAGAAAATACTGGGCTAGACGGGCAGGCCTGAGATGTATCATTTCTTGCTTTTGAAGTAGCGCTTGAACTGCGAGTGTTCACCATATTCGTTTATTAACAAACCTACTCCTTCGTTATTTAATATGTAAAACAAATGACGCAAATGTACGAAATAAAATTCGTATGTGTTATGTTTAAAAACTGTTTAAAAACAAGCAAATAATAAGATAGTTTTGATCTTGATTTTATACGCACAACATTGATTACAACATATGAAAAGAAAAGGACGTGGACGTTTGGAATATACAGAAAGAAATATGTATTGTACATAAGTCTACTCCTTTTAGTGGATGGACAAAAGAAAAGAAAAATTTGATGTATCAATAGAAACTACTGCTCATTACTATATACACACGTTAAAGTTGTGTAAATTGACGGCAGTGATACATTATTCTGCCAACTGAATTGCCAACTGTAACTAAATTGTATTTCTTAGTCTAACTTGTGAAGCCATAAGCCGTAGAAAAACTATACTAATACTACTATTCATTTCAAAATAGAATGACTGAAGATGTGTCATAAATAGTTTTACTGCGAAAAAATAATTCAGACCAAGAGAAGAAATTGCTCGAACACATATAGTCTCTCTTAGTGCGTTTTATGATGAAGCAAACGCTCTAGCGGAAAGGGAGAATTGAGAACGCTTTTTTGTCTTCCTCTTTCTCGATCGATTTAAGAGCAAGGACGAAGGTCGACGAAAGACGTAAGCAAGAATGTATTCTACTATGACAGGTATGTAAGAATAAGGTGATCGACTGAAATTTATTATAGGCATATGTCTAGCAGCTTACTAACGATAATAAGACTTTCGTTGGGTTTGGTGACCAAACCAAACTCGAACTGTTTGGGGTCACAAACCCCAAATCTTCACCAAACCCAAACCCACCAAACACAAACCCACCAAACACAAACCCACCAAACACAAACCCACCAAACACAAATCCGACACAAATCCAAACTATCTAGGTACAAAACCCAAATATGATTTTGGGTTTGGTGCATCCTTAATAAAATGGATAAGAAAAGATAGATTTTATATATTTTCTCTCTTCTACAAAAATCACAGAGGAGCGCTTCACATTATTCTACAAATGATTCGAATGATCCGTTCATAGTTTTGATGGCTTCCCTTAATGAAAAAGAATGCATAGTTCTATGTAGTAATTTGTGTATGCCATATAGAATTTTGAGACCAACCAAATGTTTGCATATATACTCTTTACAAAAATATCGACAGGTACAGTACATTTGTTGCACAGAAACAATATGTGCAGATTCATACCAACG